AATTGACGGTTGGCGATGCTCTCAATCTGGTTGGAATTTGATGTTGTCTTCCAAGGACAAGCATCTAGAAAACCCTACCCATGAGTCCCTCCACAACAACAAGCAAATCTCGAGTCACTTCATCAACATAAGCACGAGATGTCTTGACTAGATGAAATCGTAGGGAATTTTCATTAGGCGAATCTTGGGTTTAACACCTTTTATATGTATAGCAGATTTGGCTAACTAAGAGGTTGGTGCCTTAGAAGCGGGAAAATAAAAACACTAAGCCTGCAAAACCTAGAGGCATAAGTGGAGACAATAGCTCGTTCTTTGACTTTAAAACGAGCAATGTTGCGGGACAAACATGCACACGAATGAAGTAGAATTTTGTTTCACTACAACAAAACTCCAACTTTGCGACGGTTATTTTGGCGTTTAGCGACAGTCACAGCCGTCGCCAAATCATTTAGTGACGGCCACCTGACCGTCATTGACCTCGCTGTCCTTAAAATTCTTTGCAACAGTTTGGGTCGACCATCACCACAACCATCAGTATTCTCTTGCGACGGTCTTGACCGTTGTTAATTTAAACATGACCACTGTTAATTAATAATTCCGACAAAGAACAAAATGGAACATAGTCGTCGCAAATGGCAACCGCCCAACGTTTTTTTCTTGCGGTCACCTGCTGTGATTTCCCTAAATGTAAATATTTAACAAATTTAAATAAGAACATCAATTTGATTCCGAAAATTCTTTATATTAATACCACCAACTAAACAATCTAAAGTATAACACCATTATCAAAACCACAATCTAAAGTATAACATTCTTGCAAAAGTTCAAACCTCCCTTTCAGAGTTCTTCTTACTGCTTAATACCACCAAATACAACCAGTACAATTGATGCAAAAAAATAAAGGAAATAAATTGAAGGATGAGGGAAGAACAGCTCCAGAAATACCCACAAGAATAAGCAGAAGCTCCGGGAACACTTCTGCACACAAAAATGAAAGATGAGAAATGCCCAACAAGAATTAAATTAAAAGTAAAGCACATATTCAAAAACCATAGATTCAACAATCACTAATCAATATGCAAAAACCAAATTACCTCGTATCCATGCCTTAATATCTCTCCCCATCGTTTGCTCTTGATCTAGCTGCTTCAGGGCGTTAAAAGCAATTAAAAGACTCATATGAGAAGAGTACAACACTAGAATCCTTGCCTCGATGTCCACATGTTTACAAGCATAACCATCGAAGGCTTGTGGCAAAAGACAACAAATTCTACCTATTCTACAATATTCTACAATAAGAAGAGAGCATGAAGATGTGGTAAGCTAAACAAGGATCTAGTACAAAAATATGCATAATGAAAGTGAACCCACCCTGACGCCTACCTATCAACCCATTAACTATTTCGTTGGAAAATAAGAAGAAACTGTGAAATAGATATTACATTTCTTTTAACCTCAGAGTGCTAACTGGCTCTCACCTTATGTTCTGCCACACTAATAATACAAACCAGACCCATTATAGTTGCCTTCATGTCCACTACACCAATCACCCTTATTCACATGCCTTTCCCCCTAAGTCTTCTCTTTTCTTATTTGTTTCACCAATAAAATAATGGATTCGCTAAGGCTTCTACACAGTCATAAAGGCTTTTACATGATATAGCAGGGTAAATAAAAGTTAAACTTACTGGTCCTTTTTCCCTTGATGCTGCAAGTGAACCAACAACACTGAAATCATTGTTTACAACCTGGAAATTAAGAAACAAACAACGCCTTCTGAGATTGAAAAAATGAAAATGTTCAGTGAGATGAGGCAGAGATAGAAAACAGTCACCTATTCATGGCCTAATAATCTGTCAAACTTCAGCTCATGATTTAACCGCTCCTCCATGATGGATCTGTATAAGGTTGTATTATCTTTGTCATTGACCGCCGGGTCCCTGTAAGCGACAACAGGTGCACTAATTTGCAAGTATATTCTGGTAAAACCCCATTATCTACTATAAAAGACAAAAACAAAAGAAAAACATACTTGTTACCTGCTACAACAAGTTTTTTGAACGCCCTTAAGCAGGTTTATCTGTGCAGATTACCAACACCCGAATACCAACCATATGTCCAAGAAATATATCAATAAGAGTTTACCATTGAATGCTTTAGATATGTAGATTCCCTGCAGAGGAGAAGAATGGCAAAGAGGTTAGGGGTTAGGCCGTTAGGCCAATACAAGGAGGCATGAGAAACAACAGAGGTAACATGAGAACATAATTACATAATAATAATAATAATAAGCACACATCATGAGAAGTATTGGTGATAACAGCGATCTAGATCATGTTCTAATACTACTACTTTAAAGATAATATCACGCACCTTGACACTTAATACCAAAAGGGACAAAGCTTCTACTGATATTTCATAGTAGATCTGCAGAAGGTGACAGAAACTAACAGTGTAAGTAACTTTCATTGCTGGTAGGATTGCTGGAAGGAGTTGCATAAGTCAACACTACATAATAACTACAAAGAAATCTAGAGACAAACCTCACTCATGGGGTTGAAGTTGCCTAGCTCTGCCTTCTCGGCCAGCCTTTTCCATCTTTGAGACAGCAGATGAAGGTCGAGCTGCTAAATAGAACAAAACATCACTTAGTATTATCAAGTTCCAATACACGGTAAATGAGCATAATTATGAAAACCACTAGTCATAGATATTTGGCTGCATAGTTGAAACTCAGTTACAACTCCTATAATCTTTGTGATCCGTTTACTCCAATGACTAGTTTACTCCTTGAACTTTCTAGAGTTTACTTAAAATAGTGAAAGCAATTTGGAATGAATGTAAACTATATTCAAATGGTTAACTTGAATCTGATTATAGAAAAGAAAGAATCAGAACGTGTAGAGTGCCACCAGGTTAAAGTCCAAAACTATAAACACTCACCTTATAGTCATGATGACTGCTGCAGAGTAAAGTTCGTCAACAAAGATTAACTAACAATATATGTTAGTTCCCACCAAAACACAACTGGAGATCCCATGAGCACATGACCTACTTGGTTTTAGTAAACACCAATCTAAATGACAGCGTTACCTTGCATATATACAGCCATACCCTGGCTTCATTTACCCTTTACTGCCTACTACTTGTCGCACAAAACCCAACTGAAACAAAGAATGGGTTGAGCAACGCGAGATTAGCTAACAACAAACAGACAAAAGTAGTCATAAAAAGTCAAAATAGACAGACGGACGTCGGGGAAAACATCACCAGGAACTCGCCAAACTAGAACATTTCAGCACGCAAAGGGAAGATCATAGCCCTTGCATATCATAATCAAACACTCATGAGACTTGTAAATTTCAAGTTCAAATTACCTCTAAGTAGACCGGGCATCGACGGCAAGGAATAGAAACCGAGATTCAAGAGCATCAATGCCTCTCTTTGCTAGGTCTTCCTAAATCATCACATAATCAACTTGAGCCCTCTTTGTCATAGATTTCAACAGAAGACTGAAGTAACTGTACATCAAAGGATGAGTGATCGTTAAAATTCCATTTAGTAGCATAATTGGGACACTAGTAGGAAGTTGGAGCTGAAAGACAAAGCTCAAACGGGATGGTCATGTACCGAATAAAATCCTTTCCAAATCCCACAACTCGGAGTTCGTAGCGGGTTCAATAACCATGTAGCTCAGGACCAAATGTGCCTGAAAACAAAAATGGAAGGCGAAGGCAATACTGAAGAGCTTAACAAAGTGACCACCGTATACCAAACACAGCGATTGAGTATGCAATTCATCTTGGCTTGGCGTAACCGACGACAGAGAAGAAGTGTGATTGTGAAAAACAGACTCATCTCCATAAATATTTCCAGCATGTCACTTATGAGTTCTGAACTCGACATGAACTAGTCAGACTCTCGAACAAATATCAATTTTCACTCATAGCGATTACATTGAGACAAAATTAGACACTAGATAAATCAACGGAAGAAAGGATCATGATGCTGAATCGCTGAAAGGGGAAAACAACAGTGGATACTCGATTGGGAATTGGAAACTTAGGGTTCGAAAAAAATCCCCGATTGAGAGAATCAACTCAATCGAATGCCTCCAAAACACTTACCTTGGTTCAGATTTTAGAGGACGATGGTTGTGATTTCGATCTCCATGACTGAGCGATGACGGTGGGCTTTGACTGTTCAATTATGTGTGCCTCTGCCTCATCATCTGTGCCATCTACTACTGGTTGAAAGTCGAGATAAATCATCGAAATTCACCTTCTCCTCCATACGTCGATGACGGTGTGAAATCTGTATAGTCGGGGGAATCTTCGTCGTCATTGACACATAAGCCGATTAATCTAGGATTTTCAATCGAAGTGAACGAAGATATGACAATGGAGGAAAGCGCTTTCACTTTGTGTACTCTCGCTCTCCGGCTCTCCCTTTCTCTCACCAGACTTCTCTCTCCTCTGTCACGCAAATCGCAATCTCTTCTAACGTGAGTTTTTTTTTCGTGCGTGGGAAAAAAGACTTAAAGAGAGTTTTAAATTAATGGAAAAAAGATATACATAATTTATCCTTCTTATTTTATTTTTTAAAGAAAAAAGGAAAATAACTTAGGACCTTTTGTAATTGTATTATCATAGAAGCCACGCAACCCATGTATATTAGTAGGATCCCGACGCGCGGGTGCATCTCCCGTCCACTTTTCCGTCAAAAATCATGGAGTTACCGACGGTGGCAGGGGCTGTCACTAAGAAATCGTGGCTATTCATGCATTTTCTTGTAGTGTTTCGATATGTTTAATTCATTTATAAAGTACCGGGTTGACAACAATGTTTATGTGTAGAGACTCTGATCGGCTGATGATCGGGAGTAGTCTTCAGATAATAAACATATTTTGGTGTGACCATATTTTATAATAATCACATTCAACCTCGAAGCGTAAATGATCAAACCATTTAAGATGTGACCCAATTTCTTATTATTGCATGATGTATATATTATTATTATTACACAGAACATAACACAACACAGCACGGGGAAATTCACGAGAGACTAACAGCTGGAACTCATAATTAGGACCCACCCCACTTACGTACATTGGACAGAGATGCAGAGTCTGCTTCTACCCAATGCATGTTCGCCACGTGGAAAACATCCATGTCGGCAGAACACATGGAATGGATCCCATCCAAGCTGGAGGAGAAACGAAAAGACGTACACAGCATTACCAAACATTACGAGTAAACAGATTACCACATGACTTGTTATGAATAATAATAAAACCGCAAAAAGCAAATACTAATTAATTATAGCTCATATTATTGATTCACTCGGCGTCGGCGGCCTTCTCGTCATCATCAACCTTCTTCTCTTCCTCATCTTCCACTTTAGAGGCTTCGACCTCCGCTGCCGCCTCCGGCTCCGGTGCGGCGGCTGGCTCCTCAGCATTGACCTCCTCTTCAGTTGGAGTAGGAGTAGTAATTTCCTCCGGGACAGCAGCATCTTTGACTTTGACTTCTTCTCCTCCTTCTACAACTTCTTTAGTAGTCTCGAGTACTACGACTTCTACTTCAACTTCTTCTGCCGGCTGTGGTGTCTCCTTTTCATCCTTGTCCTCTTCTTCCTTTGGGTCGTCGTCGGTAGTCTCTGTGGTGGTAATAATAGCAGCAGCGGGCTCCTTCTGAACCTCGACCGCCACTACGGCCTCCTCAAATTTCTCCTCCTGGAATGCGGTTTGAGCAGATACAACCTGAATTTTCAGTTCACACACACGCACATAAGCTTAACTAGAGATCGATGCTCCCATTAAGTTAATTCCTACATATTTTTTATGGCACGTTACGACGTTGTGGCATATCATTTGATTCTTTCTATATTGTAAAAACTGCATGTGGTAGAGATTCTATAATACACGTATGAAAGTAGTTGATGAAGATTCTATAATATGCGTACCTCGACGGTGGCCATTGGGACGTGGAAAAAGGGCAAGTCTGAAGAGCAAACCCCACCAACACCAAAGGAAGTAGGAAATAATAGTAAGTGAAAGAAGCAGAGTGTATATATATAGCAAGACCGAGATAGCGATTGAATGCAAGTTTGTAATGGAGAAGACGATTGCCATAGAGTGGCTATTTATAGGGAGCAATTAAGCCACACTTGGACTGAGCAACAGGATCGATAAAGTTGAGGAAATAATAATAATAATAATAATAATGGGACTGGGGAGTCAGGACTCAGGAGTGAGGCTCGTGGGGCGGGGGCCTACTAAGCGAGAAAGAAGAAAGAAACTTGGATTTGACACCTAGCTACTTACTCACTCATGACTCATCATCCCGTTTTCTAAACCAACGGTGAGTATCCTGTTGGTATAATTTGTTTTAGCTATTAAGAAGAATGGTTAATATCTTATTTTTACCCGAATTATGATTATATAATCAAATTTGGTTCGTAGTTTTAGAAATCAACATCCTGTTCTCAATTCAATTGGCCAGACACATGGTTTTACCGTTAATTTTGACAGTCAATACTTTATTTTTCTAATTTTTATTATTTATCATTTTCAAATAAATAAAAATTAAAATAATTTTATAATTTTTGATTAATTTATAAAATTTATCATTTTCTAATTACCCAAAAAATAAAATTTATTATATATTTTTTGTAATTTTATTTTTTTGTTTAATTTGATAATGATAAATAATACAAATTAGGAAAATAATTTGAAATTTTTAATAATTTTTAGACTGACGAGGCTAGGGATGGAAGTTTGGTACCGGTATTTGGGATTGAGATTGAGTTTCAATTGTTATTTGGTATTAGGGATTACGGGATTGAGATCGGCATATACCGAAATACCGATCAATACCAAAATATAAGCTAGTGTGTATTTTATCCTCTCAACTAGACTCTCTCATTCACTACTATGCGACCCTCAACCACCAGAAGCGTCATTTAATTATACATAGATCATTACATCACTATTTCACACTAGTATTAGTCGTCTCTCAACCTCAAATTCATCAAATTAAAGATTACCAATTACAAAAGCTTGAGATGTTAGCTCTAGGTAACTCAAGACTCTTTGCTTAGTCTCTTTGCCATAAATTAAACAATAAAATCTAATATATATATATATATATATATATATATATATTTAATTATTAATTACAAAGGTAATTAATTTTGTATTTGATAATACCGATTGGGATACCAAGGTACCGATTGGGATACCTAAATATTAAGGGATTGGGATACCGATGTTATTTAGGGATTGAGATTGGGATTGATTTCAGAGTGTAATTCGGTATTCGGGATTTTGGTATTTGGTATTGGGATACCGATACCGTACCGATTTCCACTCCTAGACGAGGCAATGACATGACGTGTTGACTATCCAAATTGACGGTCAAACCATGTGTCGGATCAATTAAGTCTATATGTTGCATAGTTAATGCCAGAATATTAATTTATGAAACAACGAGCCAAATTTGATTATATGAGAATATTTCAGGATAAAATAAGGTATTAATTCTAAAAAAAGTATAGTATGATATTCTAAGCTCCTACAGATTTGGAGATTTTGATAGCTAACATCAACTGAATTATGATTGGAATCACCTGACAACATTCATTGCCATTCAATAAGCGTAGTCATTGAAAAATGGTTAGTTAGTATGCATTTTATAGCATTTTCTTATAGTATGCTTCAACAAACGTTTGTTTGGAGATGAGGTTTTATGGGCCATGGAAACAGCGTCCATTTTGGGGTGCGAAGCTGGTCTGGAGCCATTAGGCAAAAACTCGTATCATGAATATGCAAACTCCTCGATCGGTCGGTCAGGTTTTGTGGTGATGATGAATCGTATAATTGTGTGCTCTGTGCAGTCGGTGGTGGAGGTGACCACCTCATTATCGATATCTTCCCCCCACTCTTTTACCCCCAATTCCTATAACAGATTTTCTTTGTTTTGGGAAGAAAGTAATTGTTGATGTGACTTGAATCGGACTATCAGCCGCTACGACTGGTAGTTGGGGGAAGGGGCGGATACATGGGCTTGTAGGAGTGTCCTGGGACATCCCTAAAATTTGAGAAAACGATTATCCAACCTCCGGTAGTAGTTTCGTATGGGTGTACAAAATATAATTGGTAATCTGGGATACCCTAACATTTGAAAAAATGATTATCCTACCCTCGATAATAGTTTGCTTATGATTAACAAAATATAAGTGGTAGTCCGTGTTATTCCAACCTAGGACATTACTATTATTAAACATATTCTAATTATGTTGCTACTCATTTGTTATTCTATTTTAAACATAATGCAACAGTAAACCGCCATTTCTTTATCCCCAACTATTTTCAATACCTAATAATTAAACTACGTACACGCTACCCTTAATTTTGAATAGATTTTATGGTTACACGACAAGTGTTGAAAGAGTCTTTTCTACTTTGAGCTACATTAAGAAAAAAGTTAGAAATCGAATATGTGATAAGTTCGTGAAGTATTGTCTAGTAGGATATGTAGATTTTTTTGAACAGTGCAGACACAGAGTTTATTTATATTATTTTTTCAAAATATGAAAACACATCATGAATTTTAATAAAAAATTTATACAAGTATGATATTTTTAATATACAAATTATTTAATTAAATTTAATTTTGAAGAGGACACCCCTATGAAAATTTTCTGAATCCGCCACTAGTTGGGGGTCGCTGTTATTTGGGTTCGGGTTCTGGGCCTGGTCTGTAACCGTTTCCTTTGCTAGATTGGATTAGGTTTAGACCCACATGGAGAAGTACTATAAATACTTCTCATACTCCTCTGTAATCTGTAATCACCTCGATATAGTGAAACTGGCTCTCTCTCGCCCGTGGATGTAGCTAACACACATCGTGTTAGTGAACCACGTAAATCGCGTGTCTGTGTTTTTTCGATTCTCACTTTCGTATTCTTGTTTTATCGATTCCGACAATTTCCCGATTCGTAGCAGCGCGTTTATAACAGTAACAATAGTGACATTAATCTAAATAACCTTTAAATGGTTATGCATGGTTCAGTACGGTTTTGTAAAGCAGAAGTGAATTAGGAAGGGGATGAGAATTAAGTGACAAAGGAAGTAGGATTATATGATGGGATGGGATGGGATGGGATGGATCATATGCAAATTTCAAGTTCCCTTATGATGGGATGAGCGAAAAGAATGTAACGAGAAAGATTCACACAAAGGTTAATATAATATATAGCTAGTATTCACCACCAGTGCGGTGTGCTGTGCTGTCTACCAAATTCATCTGTCCATTGTTTGGCGTGTCGCCTTTTTGCATAGTAAAACTAAACCCCCCATATAAGTAACGTATGCTTCCCGTCGTACTCAGCCGGTTAAATTCTCATTTTGCAGCGGTTATAATACCACATTGAATTTATGGTGAAAATCGTTTCCCCGTTTAAGTGTTGGAAATGTATATATGAATAGTTTTGAAAGTTATAGAGTCTCAAGTGGAAAAACTACCACATTGGTAGTTTTACTTGGTGAAATGTGTATAAAGATAGGAGCCTCTCTCCAAAGGGCATGCCCCTTGGGGTGACCCACTTTTTTGGGAGAGGGAGGACCTAACGGACCACGACACACACACGCGCACCATCTGGTCAGTCGGTCAGTTGGTTCACTTGAGACTATATATATTTTTTTTGGAGAAATTCCGAACGAAATTAATAAGGAATATTCTAAGGATAATCGATTAAAAAGGAATATTCGAAGGATAATCCTGCAGGATTTATCTTAACCGACGGTTTTAATTAAGAAAGTAATTATCTTCCTTAATTAATCCGACTTATTCACCAAGCAAGAGGGTATATTCCTAGGGGTTCGGCTCCTATAAATAGCCGCCTCCCCAGTAAAAACACAATAGAGAGAGTGTTCAGAGAGCTCCGGTTTTCGCACAAAACTGCGAGTATTGAGAGGAGCTGTTTTATCCTGGAGACGACCGGTTGATAGTCTGCCGTGCGCATCGAAGGCAGTGCCGCGAACGTCTTAAAGAGAGCGACCTAGTCCGCGACTCAGCTCCAGATCGGTAACCCTTTTTTTTTTTGGTTTCTAACAATTTTAAGACGTTCGGTGCTGTTTTGTTTACCGAACAGATTTGATACCTATCTGGCTTCGCAAATCTCAATCTCCCCCGGGCATGCGTGCCGTCGCTAACTCTCGTCGACGACCACGGACTAAGCGTACCTAGGCGTTGGAAGAAAATTAGCTATTCACATTGCATGATGGATGAAATAATAATCTACAACACTTTCTTACTTAAGTTAAAATGATTAAGAACTTATTCAACACTAAATGACAAGAACATAGCTCACGTATTCATAAAATCATCGCTCAATAGCTCACAAAGTTAGCGATTGAAAATATTGATATAGAAAATTCATTTTGTAGTTGACGTTAGTTTCCTCATTTAATAATATTTACTTTCTATCTCCATCTAGTTATGTTTAGGAGAGACATAGATGTCGCCTTACTCCATTAACGTGTTCTGGTATCTAACTAGGCGTGAAATCCCTATACGAGGCGTTTTGACATTGCCTTGCGCCTAGGCGTGCCTAAGCGTAAGGTTAAACGTGCCTTTTTGAACCAAGGTCACGATAAAGTTATTGTAATAGAAAGCTATTGTAAGGTCATGGAAAACATATACCCGCACTTTAATCGATCATGGTGGTGTCGTGGTGGGTCAATCGTCCCCGTAGTGATTTGGGATAAGATCAGGTGACTAAGGGGAGTTCCCTTAGCCACTTGCCTAAGTCGATCTCAGCAATACAAACTCATTAAAATCTAATGGCTCCAATTAATTTAATTTAATGAAGGGTAATGTAGTAATTGCATGGTTATTTTATTTTTTAATTATTAATAAATTTTAAAAACTCTCCGAACGACCCATTCTCACCCCCTCCGTTTCCGTCAATGTTCTCCAGCGGCCATAATTTTCCGGCGCCGGCGTTCCACCCCGTCAGCCATCATTTTTCCGGCGCTGGCATTCTACCCGGCCGACCATCATTTTCACCGGCGCTGGCGTTCTACCCCGTCGTCCACCATTTTCCCGGC